ACAAGATACCTATTACTGCACAGCAGTTTTTTCCGCAGATTCATTCAGTCAGTAATTCTATAGGAATTAAACTTAACTTTCTCTGAGTAGAGTAAGAATTGACGGACACACCGGTGCATAATCCATGCCTTATGGTGTGATAACAAGAGGTGACATCGTGCAAACAGATGAAGTAAAAACCCATATCATATCAGTGTTGTTAAATTTTGGTTGATGTCAGGAATTCCTTTACAATGTCTGTCATCCCACACACAAGCACACATTACATTTAAATACATGCCCTGCATTATTGAACAATACTGCAGCACATTTACTGACACAAGAAAATTGTTTTATTGCATAAATAATAAGAAGAGAGAATGATTGGGTATGAATGAACAGGAGTGTAATTGGTTCCGGGGGGGATCTCCTTTCTTTGCCAGTCTGTAAGATTTACAATTCACTGAATTACTGTCCTGTGATTGGCAGTTTTGATATTTGCATTACTTAGCAACCGTGCAGGTGTACATAATGGAACGTTTTATGTTTGTTTGGAACATGGCTTGAGTTATTAATTTTTTGGTCTATTGTTTTGTTGTATTTTGTCATATAAAGGCCTCTGTACAAATTAGTGAGTAATAAATGTAAATAATAATTAACACAGAAGAAAAACTCGTCCTTTAAACAATACAACAAAAATCTGTTGTCATCATATCGAGCCGTGTCATAGCAACATGCTAATATAGGCGCTGTTATTATTGGCGCTGCAGTGTCACAAGATCAATATCGCTTTCTAATTTATAAAATAGTTGCCTCCTGGGTAAATTTACGTTACTACTTTTAATAATAATAATAAATAATAATAATGAAACACTAACCCGAAATTGGAAACCATAACGCGCTCTCCTGCCGCGAATAGACGACGTTCCTTCTGTTGAGAACGTAAACGCCTCTGATGAAGGAAGAACACACTCTCGACATAAGCCTAAGTTGACTGTTTCCGTTCAACTTTTGCTGCTGCTGGCGATAATATCTGTTTCACATAAGTTGCTTCTACCCACGTTAACATTGACCATAGAGCGACGCCATGTTTTTTGATGAAAATATAACAACTTCCGGTCTGAGTGGTCTACTTCCGTACAATCACTCGTGTCTGTGGATGCCATACTGCTCTCTAGCGGGACGCATAAAGCTCGGTTTTACTCCCGTCCAGAGGCTGGACTAAAACAGGAGGCTGCCTCTTATATTACAAATATTCTATGGAAATAATGCACATACATTTGTGTGCATTATTGTATTTTAAAATATTGTATAATGCGTCTGTCTAATTTGGCTATCGCACATTGATTTTTGCCATTTGTTTTCTGATATTTATATAGATTACTGAAGGTCTACCTTCAGAAACACAAGATCAAAGTATTACTTGCTCTATCAGAAATTATTGTGTATTAATGTGTATATTACTGACTACAAAATGGTTACCTGAAACGGAATGACCGAGTCTACCAAAAATCTTGTCAGACACACACGTTCTTTCATTATACAGCTATATTACATTGACCACCTGATATAATTTTGTAGTTGTTTCAGCCTAACCTGTTTTATAACAGAACAGTGGCCAGTTATGTGTAAAACTCAAATGCAATCAGCCATTGATTTAAAATGAATAAAAGTGTTCAATAATGTATTTAGAGACAAGTAAAACATTTTGCATTGCATTGTAGGATTTAATGAACTAATACCAGTAGAATTTGATTTAACTGAGCAGACTTTCTATCCTGTCCTGTGAGTGAATACATCAGACCTCAGGGTGATTCAATCTCTGTTGTGACAAAGGTTATATTGAGTACCCAGAGACTGAGGAAACATTGGGTTCACTCAGTCGCCCTATAATCATTTAATACTGATTCAGAATGATATGCATCTGCAATGTCAATTACACCAGAGTGACGCAGCTTGGATGAGAAATACTGGCTACTGTGGTGTTTTTGTCTTTACCGTATTCTATATGTATTCTATAATAACTAGGCAGTGGTCTCACTACAGTGTGTCAGTGATACAGGTAACTCACAATCTGTTATCTTCTTACTCTAAAAGCTCAGCAGCAGGGGGAGGGAAACAGAAATGGAGCTTTTAGCAGACACTTACTGCCAAATTTCAATTGAGCCAGAAAGCAAAGGGATATTTTTGGATCAGTAATGTTTGAACTTTCTTTCTCTATCTGCCCCTTCCCACTCTTGTACTCTTAAAATCATTCAAGGTCTTCTACAGTAGTTCCCTCCGGGCCTTTCCTCACATGGCCATTTCATGTGGGAGTATATGAGAGTTCCTGTATTTCTATGAGTGCATTGACTTTGGCCTTCAGAAAGATCTCTCTCGTTTTTTTTTTTTTTTGTTTTTTTTTCTAAAAGGCAAAAATGCTTTGCCTGCAGACCATTCAATCGTAAGCTGTTGTCGATTAACGAGCACTTGCCAATTTGATTAAGCAGAGTAGCACAGCAATGAAAGAGTTCTCTCTTTGCACACGCCTAACCATATCGTGAATACAAATTCAACTGAACATGTACAGTATATTAACGTGGTATTTGGTCTTACCTTCCAGAATACACAGATCTTTGTTGTTTGCCGGTAAAAAATGAGTGATGTTGTGATGTCGAGTGTGTGCTCTGGAAACCTCTCCCCTGTTGATTTGCTAATAATACAACCCGGAATTAGACATGTACTGGTTGGCAGCGTCTTTACTGAGAACTTGCAGCTTACGAGGAATAACAAAGTTCATGCAATAGGAAGCCTAAGCCATGGGGGTATGTCAACGGGGGAGCACAGGTGGGAAAAACAATCTGTCTTTAATGCATCTGTCAATCCATCACGGGTGATTGTGGCGAGAGGCACGATGCTGCACAGCTGCACTGTCTGCCAATTAAACAGCAGCTTTGTTCATGCTGAGAAGTCTTGAAACAGTTGTGTTATTTGTAACTGATTGCACCGACTAACGAATTGACCGACGCAATTTTTCACATCTGATGAATGATGCCGCAAAAGTCCCTCAAGGTCCCACAATTCTGCAATCAATTCTAAGTCTTGTTCCAACTGTTTTTTTTTTTTAAAGAGGCGAAAGAGGTAGCTGTTAAACTACCTATATGGGTCACACTGATGCTCTGATTGTACAATCTTTGTCTCAGTAGGGGAGGTGTAGGGGGAAAAAATTCATTCTAGACTTGCAATTGATAGGACTTGTCTGTGGAGTGGATCGATAATGCCTCCCATTGAAATCATCAATCAGGGCAGTGCTGAATATAAAAAGTGTAATTAGGAACAGCGTTCTTAAACATCCTGTATTGATGTCTCCTTCGGTAAGGAGAAAGACACCATTCTGCATCATTAACTTTGTATTATTGCCTGATGGAGCCTGCTGCTGCTGCTACTTCCCCAACTGCTGAACTCAGAGCGCTGTGTGTGATTGGGCTTTCAAACCAAATTCTATGACCAAATTCTCTGCTCTTTCACTTGCTGATAGGGGAAGTGAAGCTTGCAGCCTTTAATTGGCTAGAGTGTGTAGTGGGCCTCCGGTCCAAACTGGAACCTTCTGCCCTAGAGTTATTCTTCACAATGCTGTAATTACTAAGTATTGGGATAAAAAAAAAACCCATCTTTTTTGATTGCTTTCAGCAAGTTTTTATGAAACAACATACAGGGTTTACACCCGCACATGTGATTCCAAAACCGGTGTTTAGTGTGATCCATCTGTCTCTTGGTAGTAGTAATAACAGTATCAATACTGTGTAGATGGCAGGTGGGCAATTGTAATGGAGTAATTTGTTTTAGTTGTCACAGAAATATAACTCTTTGATTACAGAGCTACACACATCAGGCTGCACAAATAGAACATTTCATCAAATCCCAAAGCATGTGACACTATTGACTGTGGAGGTTTCACACTGGCTTTCATTTTGCCCGCAAGATGCATTATACAATACGCGAAGCGCTCAATGAAACAAACGCCAGTGCAAAACAACTCTAGGCCAATGTCGTGCCCATAGCTTAATTATAACTTATATTTGAACCAATAAAACGTTTGGCCAAAGACAAAAAAAATGTACTTGTTGTCATTTTCAGAAGAACATGGTCACATCAAACTAGTTGTAAATAGCTAAGGACATTTCTTTCTCTAATAGGTAGGTAGGTAGATAGATAGATAGATAGATAGATAGATAGATAGATAGATAGATAGATAGATAGATAGATAGATAGATAGATAGATAGATAGATAGAATGTATACAAATATAATTGTAAACATAGAAATACAATAGAATTCGAGATTGTGGTTATTGCACTGACTGTTGTTGATACCTACTTTTGCCTAGTTGATGGATATTTGGTCTGTAGCCATCTGTTTACCAGTGAGTGTGCCACCGCAGGGCATCTCAATTGATTCTTTAACTCTACCTCCAAACTGTCAAAACTGAACTAATTCATCATGTGGCTTTTTGAGCTCTTCGGGTCTAGTTCCACGTAATGGTTTCAGTGGTGTATACACTAATTAGGGTTAAATTATCTTTCCCAGTGTACTTTTTACATTTAAAATGTATTATTATTATTATCCTTTCCACTGCCCAACGTACGTATGCCGCATTGTCCAATCAAAACGGTCGTTGACTGTACCTTTAAATCGTCATCTGCTCTGCTCACAGCTTAGTCGGGAAGTCTCTCAGCACTGAGCATGCGTCGAAAGTTGCTGCCGCAGACAGAAGCAGCAGTGATTCGGCAGCACAGGGCAACGGCAGAAATTCAGTCCCTTTTGAACCATGGTGATGTACTAAATGATGCATTTTTGCCGAGAGAACGGAGAGTAAGTAGTCGCCTGATACAAATCTGCTTGCCGCGCGTTACTGTGTGTATTGTTCCCCAGAGTGTGGATCAAATGTCAGGAAAGGTTGAGAAGGCAACAATGGGACTGGCAATGTTATAATGAGAGTGGCTGCTAGGTTAGCTGTAGCCAGCAGGCTGGACAGTCAGTCAGCTGGTCTGTAACAACAGCAGCACCAGCAGCAGGTTCACTGACTGTCCGGGCTCTATTATGTTTGTCAGACACAGAACTGTGTTGCTCCCTCAGTCCAGCTGCTCTTGTGTTTCCGAGCTTTGTAAGCCAGTAGTTCACAAAGATAATGTTGTGTCTGATACTCTTGCAGTCGTTTCATCTCTGTAAATCACGTGAATGTGTTGCTGTCAGTTTTTTTTTTTTAGAAAAATCGTTTGTCTGAAGCTGAAGTTAAGAGTGGGCTCGCACGGTTATCTGTTTGAGCCCTGCAGCTTCCACTAACTTGTCTCCCACACTGTGAGATCTACTCGTTCGGGACGTTCGCAAGTGTGGCTGTCTCTCTCTGGTGAAAAAATACTGGCACCTGCAGAGGCACAAGTGTTAAAGGTGATAACAAAAGGTTGACGTCACCGGGCTCGTCCTGATCCTGCCGCACAACCTCGACCACTGAGGGAAAAGAGGAGGTGGAGTAGTTTGAGAGGAGGAGGGCACCTCTGTCTTTTTTGCTATAGCGTCTAATGGTTCACGTATGGGAGGGGGGGGGGTCTTTCTCTGATCAAATTTCTCTTATTCTAAGGGTGCACTTAACTAATGGGATAATATCGATGTTCTCAAGAATGATCTGTACACGGCGGAATGTAAACGTTGCCACGGCGTGTCCGCGATGAGTTTGGCTGCTCTGACTCTGCCATTATGACTGTTATTGTACCATAAAGATATGGAGCCTGGGAGTTGTGGTCCAGACGCGCTTGAGTGACCGTTCTGACTCTGGACGTGGTCATCTTTTACTCTGATGCACGCAGTAAGAAGACCAAACGGGAATGTTGTAGAACAGAGACATTTGACTCAAATCCATCAACTTATCAGTCTGCAATTGCATTAGCGCAGAACTAGAACAAACCAATGTTGTTTCTGTTGGAAAAGGTTACGCAATTACTTAAGTTGGTCTGAATTGAAGCAGCAACAATGACAGGAGTACGTTAGCTTCTTATGATTATTGTCTCCGGGTACATCTCCAGGCTTTTTTTTTTTTTTTTTTTAAATTCTTTTTTGTGTGACAAATTTTTTT